AGAAAACAACCAGGGTGGGGCTGGAGAGATGGCTCAGCGGTTAAGAGCACTGATTGCTCTTGCAGAGGACCCGGGTTCAATTCCCAGCACATACATGGCAGCTAACCCCCTTCAATAACTCTAGTTCCAGAGGAATCTTATGCCCTCTTCTGACCTCCACAGGTATTGCATGACTTGCATTACATATATGCAGGCAATACACTTGTACGCATAAAATTAAAATAATAAAGTATTTTTTTATCCTTAAATTGGAAAAGTAAATAAAATTCCAAGCCCAATGAGTAATACCTTATCTGAAACTATGATAGATATGCCTAAAAATTAAAACTTGGAGCTGGAGAGATGGCTCAGCAGTTATGAGCACTGGCTGTTCTTGCAGAATCCCAGTACCCATATGTCAGCTAACAACTGTACAGAACTCCAGTTCCAGGGGATCTGATGCCCTCTTCTGACCTCTGTGGGCATTGCATGACACAAGTGCACTGACACACATGCAGGCAAGGCAGTACATTCATATAGTTTATGCTAATAAAAACATGCGAAATTATTAAAATATTACGATGAATCTAGCAATGTACTAAAATATGACTAAATAGAGTTCATCTTAGGAATATAAGATTAGTCTATATTTGAAAGTCAGTATAATTTACCAAATTAACAAATTGAAAATTGAAAAACTATTATTTCAATGCACACAGAAAGGTCTAAGTATTTGGGAAAATATACCATGTTCATGACTTGAAAGACAAAGTTTGCTTATGTGTCAGTTCTAACTAAATTAATATATAGAGTCAATGTAATTTAAAGTTTTAACAGAAAATTGCATAGAAATTAATAAACTAGTCTAAAAATTTATATGAAAATGAAGAGTCCTTGAAATAGCTGAGGCAGTCTTGAAGATGCAATGTTAGAGGCTCTAACACGCCTATAGTATATAGATACTTATTCTATACCTATAGGACTCAAGAAATATGTTGCTAGAATACATCAGACCTGAGTTTCTCAGCCTTAGTGCTACTGACATTTGAGTCTGAATGTTTCTTTGCCTTGGAGTGCTATCCTATACATTAATAGGATATTTAAGAGCATTACTGACCTCTATCTACGCAATGCTAGAAGCATCCACAACTCCCATTTGGACAACCAAAAATGCCTCCAGACATTGATGAATATATCCTACTTTGATGAATATACCCTACCCTGAGAGACAAAATTCATTGATGAATATACCCTATATATAGATAATATTCATTGATGAATATTACTAGATATATAAAGTAAATAATGTAAATATAAAGTAATATATATCTAGTAATATTCATCGCTGAATATTACTATATAGAGACAATATTCATTGATGAATATACCCTACCCTGGGAGACAAAATCACCCCCAGTTAAGAACCATTGAATTTTGTATAGAGAACAATTGAACAGATTACAGTATCTAGACAAATATGATCAATTGATTTTTGACAGTGGTACAAAGATACATTCAATAAAGAAGAGATACTCTTTGAGCAAATGGAGTTGGAATCTTTGAATTTTCATTTGCAAAAATTAAAAAGACCTTTACTCTTTCACTATATAAAAATTAATTTAACATAGATCATAGGTGTAAATGAAAGCATTAAGTAAGACAGTCTCCTAAAAGAAAACAAAAGAAAATTTAGAGATTTGAAATAGGTAAATGTTTCTTAAGTAGGACATAATAGGTATGAATGCTAACCACTGACTCTGTTAAATTAGACTTTATGAAAATTAAAACCATTCTTCAAAGATATGATTAAAAGAACAAGATTCTCAGACTAGGAAAACCTATCTTTCCTAAAACATACATGGGCTTATCATTTCTGCTGGCTTATTGGCTCCTAAATTCCTCCTTTGTCTCTCCATCTTTGGATAAACAGAAAGGTAAAACTCTGCAGATAAAAATCTATTGGCAGATAGTGTATCTCTATTTTAACCAAATCCTGGCCATATTTTTCTAATCAGAAGTTCCTCAATTGAGGCTCTGGTTTTCCTTGTGCAAGTAAAATCATTAGGTTTCTTTACTACTTGACTCATATCTATTAGCCATTCTTTTTTTTTTTAGTTTTAGAGAAATTGTATTGATTTGAGAATTTCATACAATGATTTTTCATTATATTCAGACCTCCTCCCCATCTCCACATTCACCTTACCACCCCCCACTGTACTCACCCCTGACTTTGTGTCTTTTATTAGCAAATGATAAACCCCATTCATCTTATATAACACAGCTGAGCTGAATACCAGAGAAATTATTTCATTTTGGTCAATTACAGATTTACTTCTGACACACAACTTTGAGTTACTCAGAGTAACCTTATTTATATTAGAAATGCTTCCCCGCCCCAATTGGCCATTTTTTTTCTGCAAAATAAGAGGGTTAGAGTAGATTATTTCTACATTCCTTATCTTTGATACCTTGTGACCATAACTGTTGGACACACATACTTCTATAGGGAGACTATGAGAATGGATATTAGATTGCTAGATTAATTTACCTGAATTTTAGTCCAAATAGAACTTTATTAAGCTACATTGAATTGGTAATTTATAGTACAGTTTGTAATATAATATAGTCCTGAAGTGACTCACCATCTTTTTACCACATTCTCCAGTAGGTTGGGAGAGGACAGGGAGACTGTCAAAGAGCTAGGGTAAAGAATTTTGCATCAGTGGTTCTGCATTTGCATACAAGTAGCTGACTCTGCACACTGTTGAGACCTCTGTTACCCAGTATGGTAGCTTTGGGGGCTACATTTGGATATTTAAATTTGAATTAACTGATAAAGCATTCTCTTCTATGGTCACATTAGCCATGTTCCATATACTCAGCAGGCCACAAAGATTAGCAGTCACCTTTTTGGAACCAAACAGACACAAAATCCTACTGAGCAAAAAGTGATCTAGAAGTGGAACTACCTATGCTCACCTCTTCACTACAAGGAAGGTGGCGTATTGTGCTTACTGTTAATTGTTTGGGGTTCTCTTATGATAGCTAGTGAAACCAAATCAAAATTACAGTTACTGTATCAAATTTCATCTAAATGTTTCTTGTCCATCCTTTGAAAACTTGTTTGATATCTTATAGTGCTTGGTTGTGTATCTTAAGATGAACGCAGGTATGTGTAGACATAACTTCGAAATTATTATTTTGTAGGCAGCTGAGATACTACTAGAACATGGAGCGAACCCTAATAAAAAAGATCAGAATCAGAAGACTGCTTTGGACGAAGCGGATGATGAAAAAATGAAAGAGTTGCTAAAATTGTATGGTGCTGTTGAGTCTAATAATGGAGATGAGAGTAATTCTACGGTTACTGGTATGTATGTCAATATTGCTTTCTATTTTGTACAGGTGTGTATCTGCTTAGCAAAATAAAATCTTCACATTTGTAGTGTAAAGTTATTTCCTAATTGGAGTAGGTGACTCCTGTGTTCATTAAATCCTTAAAAACCTGTAATTTAAGGGCTGGAGAGATGACTCAGTGGTTCAGAGCACTCGCTGCTCATGCAGAGGACCCACGTTTGGGAAGATGAATTTCTGATATTGGTCAAAACCAAGGTTATTCACTGTGCAATATTTGATTTGTGGCCTAGATTACATGCAGGTCAAATTCAAGACTGCTAAAAAGCTTTCTCTTTTCATTGCCTATCACCATATAATTAATCTGTAGGATTATGACATTTTTCACAGCCTTGGTGATTTTTCGCTACTTTTCTAAAGCTATTCTGGTCTCATGAGGAAATATTGGCATTTGGAGATACTGAGACTCTGTTATAAAGTGCTTTATCTATTCCTATGTCTGTTGTTTATTGAATGTGCACTTCTTGGTCATGTACCCAGACAAATGAAGGATTACAAAGGGTAATATGGATAAAATGCATCCATAATAGGAGAAGAGTCCAAGAGAACACTACAGAGCAGTGAATCCTAGTAGTTAAGAACAAGGACTTGGAGCCAAATAGCAGCTAATTTCAATACTAACTGTGTGGTATTGGCAATTTCCTGAATTTCTCTGAAGATTTACTTCTTCCATAAAATTTATAATAAACTATTTCAAAGAGTTCACATGAATATTCTATAGGATGATCCACAGAAAGCCATTTATCACATGATAAGTGCTCATAAATTGTTACCTGTAGTTAATAATGAGAACATTAAGACAATAACTATATTCTTAATTTATTGTTCCATCCTCATCACAATTAAATCTGATAAAATGAAGCTACATTTTTTAACTCTTATTTTCTAACTTCGTTTTTTAAAGTAAAAATTCCAGATATTCAGCCAAAACGATATAAGCAGTGTACTGACGATAACAAAACTGTTGATCCTCCTGCCCCTTTTCATCAAGCGAAAAGAAGTGAAAGCCTTCCTGTGGTGAGTGAAATTGAAGTTCTTTCATTCTTCAGCCTAGAAAATACTGTTCTTTTAGCCAGCCATTGGCTACTGGCAACAGTCCTTCCATATTAATGACACAGATTGAAAGTGGAGTTTATCATAAAAATAATTGAACAGAATGAGTCAAAAAGATATGCTGTGTGGTTACTTCCCAGTCAACTGCACTAAATAGGAGAGGAGAGATTACCTAGTGTTCTTTGACCCCCACTCGAGTTGTTTGGATACTTCTTTTTCCACAGACACTGCTACTGCCCTCAGGTGTCTTTGCTCACTCCCAGAACTGACTAGGATATGTAATTCAGAGAAGGGACTGTGGAACCCAGACAGAGAACAGGCGAGCTACCTGCTTTAGTTGTCTTGAATTCTACATGTTATTTTAATGATAGTGTTGGCTATAAAACCATTATCTAAAAATAAGTATTTGCAAAAGTAACCTAATAGTTGCTTGATAATTCATAGATTGATTGGAAAAACACCCCACACATTTATTAGATGCACTTAAGTAAGGCACCATCTTCAATGAGATATTACTTTGAATAAGTTAATCCATTGTGTCCAAGATGAGTTCATCTACAACATAAGCCAGACAGGAAAGTTAGCACAAGTTTACACCTTTTCTTTCATAAGCCATTCACCGTATAAAGAGTTAAGCCTTGAGTTTTTGTTTGTTTGGCACATTCATATTTTATAGTTTCACTCTGATGCATTTAATAAATGACAGCACTGAGATTGCTTTACCAAGGCTGATGAGATGGCTCAACAGATAAAGGAACTTGCTACCAAATCTGACGACCTGAGTTAAATCCCCAGAATCTACCTGGTAAAAGGAGAAAACTAACTCCTGAAAGTTGTCCTCTGACTTCGACACACACGCACCATGTCACGAATGTGCATGCATGTGCACACATACACACAGTAAATAAATGTAAAAAAAACTTACCAAAAAATTTTATTGGTGGATTTTCCATATTTCTTGTAACCACCAAAGAAAATTTTGGAGTAGTGTATTTCAGAAGGCTTTGAAGTTCACTTTTGAAAAATGAGAATATTTGAGAATTTATAGAACAATATAATGAGAATCAATCTGTGAGTCATTTATTGCATGACAATTATGTACCCAGGATTTTGGAAAACATATACAAAAATAAAAACCATGTTCCTGCTTATAAGATCTCATTATCTTAATAAGGAAATATTATGTATAAAGTATTATGTGGCTCTGAAATAGTTGATTTACAAAAAGATAAGTCTGTATGTATAGGAAGCAGAGGTTTGTGTATGAGATGGATTTTTTAATGACAATAACCAGTATTTACTGAGCTCTTACTTTATACTGGCATCGTCCTTAGCATTCTGTGTGTATTGCTCAATTCAGGCATAGAGAGAATAAGTAACTGGGGAGAATTAGAGCCAGGATTCACCTCCATACAGTCCGGCTCTGGAATCCACTTTATGATTCTCTCGTAAGAAGAAAGAACTGGCAGAGTAAGCTGTTCCAGGTAGAAAAATTAGTATTGACAAGGGCATTAAGCAATAGCTCTTGAGGGACTAGTGTTTTGTGTATCTAGGGTTATGTGTGGGATTTTAATACTGTGCAGTGATAGTCATGAAGTGTTAAAGTGAACTTGTTGTATATGTGATCATTAAATATATGCTATTTTTCTCCCATCACTCTAATTTCAGTGAAGTCAGAAATTATAACTCCTTAAATACTTACTATTTACATTGTTTTTCAGTAGTCACTATGTAAATCAATATATATTTAAGTTTTCTTTTTTCATATCTTCAACATCCATTCAGTTAAAGTTGAATAAAATGGGAGTACATTTTGAGAATAAAAGAGAAATGAGGATGTTAGCAGCATGTTACTTGTATTTATCTGTAGAATATCAGAGAGCACATCTACCTCTTAAAATGAAATTCCTAATATGTTTATCTGTTAGCATCAGACCATCAGTGCCATTCTACGAGACATAGAGGAAAAGCAAGATAATTTATTAGAGTTTGAAATAAGAAACCCTGAAGATGCAGGTAAATATGTACTAATGCTCAAGTGTGGTTATTTCAGACATCCAAGGTCACTGCTGTTTCATCTTCTTCTACATGTTTCTCTCACAGTTCATAATAGCTGAAAGTGCAGATTTTTTGTGTATGTATGTGTGTAATGTGTATTGTGTGTGTATATAGGCATGTGTCATGACTCACGTATGGGGATCAGAGTAAAACCTCAGGTGTTGATTCTCACCTTCCATCATGTTTGAAACAGGGTCTTTTGTTGTTTGCCATTGAGCTATGTACACCAGGCTAGCTGGCCTATGGCTTCCTGGGATTCTCCTGTTTCTACCTCCTATCCCATCTTAGGTGCGTTGGGATTATAGACACGCTACCACATCCAACTTTACATAGGTTCTAGGGATTTAAACTTAGGACCTCACACATGCCAAGTGCTTTTACCCACTGAAACATCTCCCTAGTCCCATATGGATGCTTTTAATGTGACAGAACTTAAGGTGCTATGGATTGTAACAAAAGTCAGTGATACAAACTAAATTTGTGCAGTTGTTGGCACAGATACTTCTGAAAAAAGTCAAGGTAATGTGATAATGTAAGAGACATTCAGAACCATGATCAGAGATAAGCAATTACTAGTCATACATCCAGATGAAGATGTGATTAAAACAGAATAGCTCATTGAATGCAGTGGCAGCTTTCCGGGTTTTCTGCAGTCTCCTCTCCAACAGAGCCAGACCTACACACTAGCAACCTTGTCTAAAGGGACATGCAGTTGACATTGATCTTGGCATTACCTCATGTGTGAGTGCCTTCCAGCATAGGAAAGTAGAAAGAATTGCCAGTGATCAGGGGAACCACACCACACCAAGCTCTGTCACTTTCACCGACAACAAACGATTGATCGCTGATGCCACAAAGAATCAGGTTGCCATGAACACAGCGTTTGATGCCAAATGTCTAATTGGGCACAGGTTTGATGATGCTTTTGTTCACTCTGATATGAAGCACTGGCCCTTCATGATGGTGAGTGATGCAGGCAGCCCAGGGTCCAAAGTAGAATACAAAGGGGAGACCAAAAGTTTCTGTCCAGAAGAGGTGTCCTCTGTGACTCTACCAAAGATGAAGAAATTGCAGACCTACCTTGGGAAGATTATCAACATTACCGACATGTGGTCACAGTGTCAGCTTATTCAGTGACTCTTAGCACCAGGCAACCAAAGATGCTGAAACCACTGCTGGCCTCATTGTACTTAGAATTATCAATGAATCAACTGCTGCTGCTATTGCTTACAGCTTAGACAAGAAGGTTGAAGCAGAGAAATGTGCTAATTTTTTATTTGGGTGGTGGCACTTTTGATGTGTCAATCCTCACTATTAAGGATGGAATCTTTGAGGTCAAATCTACAACTGGAGACGCCTACTTGGGTGGAGAAGACTTTAACAACTGGATGGTTAGTCATTTCATTACAGAGTTTAAGCACAAGCATCAGTGAGAACAAGAGCTCTGTTTGCTGTCTCTGCACTATTTGTGAACGGGATAAGCACACCCTCTCCTCCTCCAGCACCCAGGCTAGTATTGAGATTGATTCTTTCTATGAGGGAATGGACACATCTCTGTTACCAGTGTTTGATTTGAAGAGTTGAATGCTGACTTGTTCTGTGGTACTCTGGACCCTGTAGACAAACCCCTTCAAGATGCCAAACTAGACAAGTCACAGATCCACAATCTTGTCCTGGTAGGTAGTTTCACCTGTAACTCCAAGATTCAGAAGCTTCTGTAAGACTTCTTCAAAGGAAAAGAGCTAAATAAGAGCATTAACCCCAGTGAAGGTGTTGCTTATGGTGCAACTTCCCAGGCAGCCATTCTATCTGAAGACAAGTCTGAAAATGTTCAAGATTTGCTGCTCTTGGATGTCACTCCTCTTTCCCTTGATATTGAAACTATTGGTGGAGTCATGACTGTCCTCATTAAGTGCAGTATTACCCACGATTCCTACCATGCAGATACAGACCTTTACTACCAACTCTAACAACAAACCTGGTATACTCTTTCAGGTATATGAAGGTGAAAGAGCCATGACCAAGGATAACCTGTTTGGGAAGTTTAAACTCACAAGCATACCTCCTGTACCTTCTGATATTGATGCCAATGCTGTCTTCATTGTTTCTGCTGTAAATGAAAATATAGGAAAAGAAGACAAGGTTACCATAGCCAATGACAAAGGCTGCTTGAGCAAGGAGCATTTTGAATGTATGGCCCAGGAAGCTGAGAAGTTCAAAGCTGAAGACAAGAAGCAGAGAGAAAAAGTATTGTCCAAGAATTCACTGGAGTCCTGTGCTTTCAATATGAAAGCAGCAATTGAAGATGAGAAACTCCAAGGCAAAATCAATGATGAGGAAAAACAGAAGATTCTCCACAAGTGTAATGAAATCATCAGTTGGCTGGATAAGAATTAGACTGCTAGCTAGGCGTGGGGGCACATGCCTGTAGTCCCAGCACTTGGGAGGCAGAGGCAGGTGGATCTCTGTGAGTTCAAGGCCAGCCTGGTCTACATAGTGAGTTCCAGGCCAGATGGGACTACTGTTTCGAAAAGACCAAAAAAAAAAAAAAAATCAGGCTGCTGAGAAGGAAGAAATGGAGGAAGAAAGAAATGGAGAAAGTTTGCAACCCCATCATTACCAGGCTGTACCAGAGTGCTGGTGGCATATCAGGAGGAATGCCTGGGGGCTTTTCTGGTTGGGGAGCTCTTCCTTCTGGTGTACTTCTTCAGGGCTCACCATTGAAGCAGTTGATTAAGTCAGTTCAAGTAGAGATGTAGCATTGTTCCCCAGTAAAACATTTGAAGGACCTATATTTTGCGAGTTCTGTGGCAGTTTTAAGGTTGAGATGCTACAATAAATAACTGGGCATTCTTAGTACTTGAATAAGGAACATGCATACCAGGAAAAGAAATGAAATTGCACTTTATAAGTACTGCAAATGGAAAATGCTATGTCTTAAATAAAACTATTTAAAATTGGGAGACGAGAGAGAGAGAGAGAGAGAGAGAGAGAGAGAGAGAGAGAGAATGAATGGGAATAAAATTCCACAACTGGTCAAATGTGGAGAATGGGTATCTGAGAGGTGCCCTGCCCCAAGTGATACATCTGTAATGCAACCGCTACACCTAAGGTTCAGGAAACATAGTGGAACAGGGGGTGGAAAGAATATTAATGCATCTGTCAACTCACCAGAGAGGCTTCTTCCATGCATCAGGTGGTGATTAAACCCGAAAATCACAACTGGCCAGAATGCAGAGAATAAGAGACTGCAGAGTGCTTATCCCTGAATGGGGGACACCTGTATCAAACCTTTGTACCCAAGGCTTAGGGACCATTGTGGAAGAGAGGGCAGAAATATTATAAGAGCCAGAGGTGGTGGATGACTACAAGGAAACAGGTTTCCAGACAGCTGGAAAGTTACTCATATGAACATACAGCAATAACAATAGTATGCATAAGACCCAAATAAGCTCAAGCCAGACAAAATCTCAGCATAGTAGGGAAGTAAGAAACCCTGCCTTTGCTGAGAACTCTTGGTAACCAACGACTGCTGGGAGAGGGAAAGTCAGTTTTCTTTAACGGTATGATGCTAAATAGGTTATCCAAGCTCCATGGGTGGACCCGTACGGAAGGACATTTGGGAATACAAATTTGACTTGATAGGCCTTAATATATATGACAGAATACATGAAATCTGGTGGGGGAGCTATAAGAAGTGTGCAAGTAGGAGAAGGAATTTAAATATGATCAAAATATAGTGTATGAAATTTGCAAACATTCAATTAATTTTTTTTCTATTAAAGAAATTCATCATTAAAAAAAAAAACAACCAGAGCTGATGACTAGAGCTGAGATTGCTACTACTGACTACAAAAATGTTTCTCTGGTTTTGGATTCAAATTAGTATCTTTAGTATCTCAGCTGAACTAAGGCAGAAAAATCACTATTGTAAACATTTTATGTATTTTATGCATTTTAATGTACAATTCATTGAAATCTCCTTTCTGTATATAAGGATAAGAATAGTTTTTTTTCTATACGACTACCCCATTTGCCTATACTTATTTGCTGAATAATTCCTCTCACCTTCATTGTTTTGTAATGCTTTATTATCATATATTAAAGTCACATACAGTTTCTAAGTTCTTATTAATGTGTCATTAACAAGACCTGATAAATAAGCATGTAGTATCAGTTTATATGTACAATATCTTTATGTCCTTTCTTATGGGAACAGAATACATTAGGCTATTGTGATAAGTTTTGATTTGTAGCCTAAAACTCCATTAGAAAACCCAATGTGAAGGGCACATAGGTAATTTAAATATCTTTTAATGAACAATGTCAAATCTATTAAGCAAAATTTTATCTAAATTTTTAATGGCCCCACACATGTTGCCCCTTTGTTCACATATGTATCACACTGCGAAACTAAGCCTTTACTGTAGTATTAGAGGAATGGAAACTCCTCTGGGGACACTGACCCTACACTTGACCAATATTTGATTTGCAAAGGGAGATTTACAATAAATTTCAACTGTGAACTTCATGTCATTTCCCACTAATGGGATTTTTTATTTTATTTTTATATTATGTATACAAGTTTATGCCTGCATGATTGTAAGTGCACCTATGTTGTGCAGTGCTTGTGGAGGACAGAAAAGGGTATCGGATCGGATCCCCCTGGAACTGGAGTTTCAGGCAGTTGCTAGCTGTCAAGTGAGTGCTAGGAATCAAACCCAGGTCTTCTACAAGAACAGCCAGTGCTCTTGACCATTGAGCCATTGCTCCAGCCCCATGGTTTTTCTTAAGCGAAAGTACCTAGAAAAGTGTGCAGTGGTGCAAAAAACTTTAACAAAAATCTTAAGTCCAAAAGTAAAAAGATTAACAAGTGACTTAAAAGGAATGCAGGTTATTAATTTAAGCCTTTTAATTTCTTATTTGGGAATCTGAATTTGGACATAATCCACATAATGTTTAAATACTCTGGACTTGTGATACGGAAAATAATTCAAGATTCTGTTACTGAGGAAGCAAAAGAAGAAAGTTGGAAAATTTTGTGTAGTTGTAATAGTAAGATTGCTAGATCTATAAGTCATATTAGGTGTCTTTTTTTTTTTTTTTGGTCTTTTTGAGACAGGGTCTCCCTGTAGCCCCAGCCGTCCTGGAACTCACTATGTAGACCAGGCTGGCCTTGAACTCACAGAGATCCACCTGCCTCTCCCGAGTGCTGGGATTAAAGGTGTGCACCACCACACCCAGCTAGGTGTCATTTTTATAGTCACTTAACAAGAGTTACTGTGCAAAGAACAAGATTGATAATGTGATTTCTCAACCTATACATTGTGTAATATATACCAGATAAAAATTAAAGACAAATATATCAAATTTCTTACGTACATACATACATACATACATACATATGCACCCCAAACTGTTAGCAGCAATCTTTGTGTGTAAAATAGAGGTGAAGCAGAGGAGTGAATGCAGGGACTTTTTCATCTTTAAATATTACATTGTTTGAAAAAAGTACAGTATCAATGTTTTTTTCTGTATTTTAAAAGTAAAAAAATTTTTTTAATTTTTTTAATTTTTATTTTGTGTGTATGAGTGTATTGCCTGCATGTAGGTAAGTGCACCCATGTCATGCAATGTCCGCAGAGGACAGAAGAGGCTGTCGGATCCCCTGGAACTGGAGTTATGAACAGTTGTTAGCTGCCATGTGGGTGCTGGGATTCAAACCTAGGTCTTCTGCAAGAACAACCAGTGTTCTTAACTGCTGAGCCATGTCTCCAGCCCCGAAAAGTAAAATTTTTTTACAACCCTAGAGAATCAAACCCACAGCCTTGTGCATGCTAAGCAAGTGCTATATAATTGAACTAAGCTCCCAAAGTAAACAGTTTTAACAGACAAAATATATACCTTCCACTGTCTTCATTTCAACAAAACATTGACCATCTGTATATTAACAAGAAATAGCAGAAAGAATTTGAATATTTTCTCAATATAGAAATTGTAAATGAGGAGATATTTATACCCCGATTTGAATATTGCACAATGGATACACAGATCAAAATATCATGCTAACCAATAAATGTGTATAATTTTAGGTGTCAATTAAATAGTAAATATTAAAAATACAGAAAATTAGAAAATCACCCATAACTTTATATTCTGAAGACCAGCATATTTTATGATTTTATTTTTCCTGCTTTAAAAAAATGATAGCTGTGATCATATTGCAAATATGAATTTGTGTCTTCAGTTTTTATTTACTGTTACAATTTTTGCTACCTTAGTAAAACTTCTCATAAACTTAATCAAAATGATTATGTTTTATAATTTAGTGGTGTTATGACTTATTAATAATTATTTTTATATTTATTTGATAAGTTATTTTTATTAGGAAATTGTTGCCAGTCTTGACTATTATCAGTAATACTGTGTTGGATGTTTTTCTTTTGGTATCTTTTATTCCTCTTCTAGTACATTATATACTTTATACATAATCAGTATGAGTTTCTTGAGGCCAGACCAAGGTAATACCTCAAGAATATAGACAGGGTTTTTAAAAAAAAAAAAAACTATTTCATGATCAATATGCTGGATGTCAAAGATCATTAAGAAAAACTAAAGGTGAGGCTAGAGAGATGGCTCAGCAGTTAAGAGCACAGACTGCCCTTGCTGAGGACCCAGATTTGGTTCCCAGCCCCCACATCACAACTAACAACCATTTGTAACTCCAGTTCCAGGCTATTTGACAACCTTTTCTTGCCTCCATGGGCATTGCACATGGGTACACTCATACATGCTCACAGAGCACTCATACACATTAAAAAAATAAATAAACCACACAAAAAAGAAAAATTAAAGGTAAATTAGTGAAATTATCATTGAAATTTTACTCAAAGAAAAATGAAGTGCTTGAAGAGTAAAAAGGAAAAAGAAATTTGATCTTTAATTAGACTTAATGTTTTCAAGTTAACAATTAAACTATCACAGTCTTTTTAAGATTGGAAACAAAGATTCTTCCCCTCTTATCTGAAAGATCCAAGTGGTCATTATTTTCTTTTCAGAGATCATGTCCTTTATTCTAGAAATAATGTAATATTTTGATGTCATGCACACCTTACATCTGTAGACTCTGAATCACCAGCCCTGTATTTTCACCATATTTAGTTTGTTCTAGGGTTATTGGGAATGCCTGGCTTTGTAAAGTTGATGTGCTTTTGAAAAGTAGTATCAGACAGACCAAATTACACTGGGTAAATTTTTCATTTAAGGGCAATAAATATAAGTCATTTAAAAAAAAAAGAAGACAGAGGGGCTGTGGAGATGGTTTGATGGGTGAGTGTGTTTTCTGTGCAAGCAGGAGGACCTGAATTTGAATCTCCAGTACTCCACAAATGCCTGGCATGACTGTAGTGGCTGTAATCCCAGTGTTGGGGGGGTGGAGCTATGCAGATCCCAAGAGCTCACTGACTTACGAGCCTAGCCAAAATAGTGAGCTTCAGGTTCAGTGAGAGACCCTGTCTCAAAAAAATAATGTGGCAGGCCAGTGAGTCAGCTCAGCAGATAAAAGTGCTTGCTATACAAACCTGTTGACCTTAATTCCATCCTCTGGCATCTACATACATATGCATGGATGCATCCACCTGCACACACGTGTGTACACATACATACATGCACACACACACTCACAAGACAGATGTGATCACAGAGAACAGATGACTAATTCCTGATCATAGAACTTAATCAATGGGGTAGCAGATTAAAATTTAGGCAGGACCTCTTTTTTGGCATAGTGTTCTTATCAGATTACCTCAGGGCATTTTCTTAGAATTACTTAAATAAGCCTTGGTTTAGATAACTGGGTGATTAATATTGGAAAAGTAAATTGGGAATAATGAAGAATTAGACTATCTTGAAAAAAAATAGAAGGTCTAAACTTGGGTGAACAAATTTATCATTTGGTACCCTTCAGTTAACTGACTTTTTAATTTTATTATTGTTTCTAGAACAATACATTGGAAAGATGTTAGAGATAAAAGAAGTTATGGATAATATACTTGCTCAACAGAAAACAGAAAGGGATGATCTGGCTAAAAAATACAGGTGAGTGGGAAAAAAAGGAATGTTTTAGAGTAGCTAGAACTTACCCATTTAAGTTATAATGGTTCAATAGTTTGAATTTGGAATGTACCCCCAGACCCATGTGTTCAAAAGTTTAGCCATTCCCAGCGTGGCATTATTGAGAAGTGGTAGAACTGTAAAGTAAGGCCCAGTTGGATGTCTTCCAGTTGTTCGGAGACAAGTTTTCAAAGAAGATGAGACCATAGCCCCTTCTTTTCTTTTGCATCCTGCGCATGTGAACAGCTTTGTTCTACCACACACTCCTACCATGATGTGTTCCTGCACCGCAGGCAATAATAAAAGCTATGACTGAAACTTCAAAAGGTGTGACACACACACACACACACAAATAAACATTTCCTCTTTGTAAGTTGATTAATTCAAGGATTTGTTATAGTCACTGAAAACTGATACAGTTAGGCCTAGAATTTGTATTTTAAAAATATTTTATCAAATTTGTTCTTTGACATCTTCATATGTATATACAGCACATTTTGATTACTGTTATACTCACCCTCATTTCCCTCCCACCCCTATTACCTCACCTCCTCTCTACAAATCTCTTTCCTACATTCATATCTTTGGGGGCGGGGGATGTTACCCATTTAATCTAACCAGGGCCATCTGTGTGACCATGGGTTTGGAACTCTCTGTTGGAGTGCGATGGGCTCTGTGATGGGTGCACAACTGAAGACAATGTCTACCCCATCCCTGGAATCCAGCAGGAGCCCATAGCTCATCATAGACAAATAAGGTCACGTGGGCCCCTCCCTGAGCTATGATTTAGTGTTGACAAGCAGAGTCTTGTGCAGGGCCATTGCAGGCAGCGGCTGCTGCTGTGAGACCATGATTGCACTAACTGTGCTGTGCTCAGAAGACAGCATTTCTGAGATCTTCTCCATATCTTCTGACTCTTAAATCCTTCCTACCCTATCTTCTATGTTTTCTGAGCCTTAGAGTTATGAATGTCCTGTTTAGGGCTGAACACTTGGTTGGTGCTTAATCTCAGCACCTTGAGCAACCATATGCCTCCGTGTTTGCTGCCATTCAATAAAGAGAGAAGGTTCTTAAGGTTGAGAGTAACATTTGTCTATGGTATGAACATAAATATTTAGAAGGCAGCATGGTGATATGTCAGTTTAGCTAAATGACAAAAGTTCCCATCTAGGGCCTAAGACCTCAGCCATGGGCTTTTTTTTTTTTTTTTTTTGACTGGGTTACAATACCAGGCATGAATTCTTTCTTGTGGAGCAATTCTCAAAACCAACCAGAGTAGTTGGTTGCCTCCATAATAGTCACACCACTATTGTTCTAGTAGTCCCATCTTGCCAGGTATCAGATTGGTATTATAGTTCATGGGGTTCTCAGCTTGGTAATACCATTGATGCCTCTCCCAACCCCAGTGGCCTGCATAGCAACTTCTGGCACTATGAAAGGTAGCCATCAGGGAAGAAGCTTCCAGATCAGTTCTAGCTTGAATTATCTGTCTCTTGCAACCAAGGAGTATAGCATCCTTCAGCAATAAGGTCTTATCAGCTAGTTCTGGTGGCTAAACAAGTGGAATGACATCAGTTGATGAACATCTAGGCTGTTTCTATTTCCTAGAGCAGTAATGAATATAGATGAGCAAGTATGTCTATAGTAGGATATAGTCCTTTGGGAATATGGCCAGGAGTGGTAATGCTGAGTGGTGTGGTACATCTATCTCTAGCTTTTCAAGAAACTGCTGCACTAATTTTCATAGTGGCTGCATGAGTCTACACTCCTACCAACAGTGCAAACACCAAAGTGTTCCCCTTTCTCTCACATCCATGACAATATCTGTTGTTATTTGTTTTATTGTTTGTTTTGTTTTGCTTTGTTTAGTCAGGGTTACCCTAGTCCCAGCCCACTTGGAAGTCACTATGTAGACCAGGCTGGCCTCAATCTCAGGCTGCCTGTCTCTGCCTCCCCAAGACTGGGATTAAAGGCATGTGCTATCACACCTGGTATGCCATTTGGTTCTTTTGATTTTAGCCATTTCCGACTAGGGTAAGATGAAATCACAAAGTAGCTTTCATTTGCATTTCCCTGATGGCAATAATGTTGAATGCTTTTTGAAATGTTTATTCACCATTTGTATTTCTTCTTTTAAGAACTGTCTATTCAGATCATGGCCCATTTTTCTAAAATAGGGTATTTGTTTTCATAATGCTTACTTTTTTTTAGTTCTTTATATATTGTGGATATTAATGCTCTGTTGAATGTATAGCTGGCAAAGATTTTTCTCCCATTCTGTGGGCTACCTCTTCACTTAATTGACAGTGTCCTTTGCTGTACAGAAGGTTTTTAATTTCATGAGGTCTCATTTGTCAATTGCTGGCCTTCTTTCATGAGAGACTGGAGTCCTGTTTTTAAAAGTCCTTGCCTATGCCTATATCTGGCAGAATATGCCATGCTTTTTCCTCTAAATGTTTCAGAGTTTCAGGTTTTATGTTGAGGTCTTTAATACATTTGAAATTGATTTATGTGCAGAATGAGAGATAAGGATCTGGTTTCATTCCTTTAGATATTCAGTTTTCCTAGCACTATTTGTTGAAGATGCTTTTTATCTTTTTTCAAGTGCATTTTTGCCGTCTTTGTCATAGCAAATGGTGATTAACACAGAGAACCACAAATGTCCTACATGCAGAGAATAAGAGGCTACAAACTACCGATCCCTGAATAGGACACCTATATCAAACCTTTTCCTCCTATCTGGGATCATTGCAGAACAGGGAGGGGGGTGGTTTTAAAAGATTGTAAGAGCCAGAGGAAATGAATTACCACAAAGAAACAGAGTTTTCCAGATACTCATATGAACTCAACATCAACACTAACAATGTGGACAAGTCCCACCTAAGCTCAAGCCAGACAAAATCCCAACATAAACTTGGGGAAGTAAGAAACCCCAACCGTATCCTAGGAGCATTGGCAACCAATGCCTGCTGGGAAGCAGAGATTCATTCTCATATAAGGTCGAGACTCTTAGTATGTTGACAAGGCTCCAATGAATAAATCCACACCAAAGGGCATTTGGGAACACAAATCTGACTCTATAGGCATATATATACATATATATATATATATTTGATGGACAGATTAGAAAGGGTTGTTCAGATATAGGAGGAAATCTAAATATGAAAATATGATAAAAATATATTGTATAAAATTCACAAAATTTAAAAGAAAGAAATTTCTCTACAGTGAAAAAAAATCTGTGGAAGTTTTCCTGGTCGTGAATCCTACAAAATTTTTTTCCTAAGTACATGGTTAGTTTTGACTGTCAACTTGACACAATGTAGAATTACCTGAGAAGAGAGCCTCAGTGAGGAATTACCTTAATCAGGTTGCCTTGTAGGCAAGTCTAGGGGGAATGTCTTGATTGTTAATTGATATAGGAATATCCAGCCCATTATGGGTAGCACTGTTTTATGGGCTGGACCCTAAACTGTGAAAGAGAGGAAAAAGCTAACTAAAAGCAAGTGGGCAGGTAGCATGGGTGCATTTGTTTCCCTCTGCTCCTGACTATGGATGTGGTGTGGCCAGCTGTCTCAAGCTCCTGCCTCTCTGTCTTTTCTTGCAGTGATAGACTTGGAATTGGGATCCAAGTATACCCTTATCTCTCCTATATTGTTTTTTTAGGTTACTTGTCACAACAATAGAAATGAAACTAGAACACTAAGCATATTCAAATTTTTCTTCTTTCTAATTTCTTATTTTTGTTAGCATACAGTTAGATTTGTTTATGTTGCTTCTCTTCTCCCCAGTACCTTCTTCATCCAGTGTGCCTTCCACCTTCCAGTCCTCCCTTCAGCATTCATCTCAGTATGACAAATTATCCTCCACCATTCTTTTCTCTCCACCTCGTTGTTCATACTGAATTATCTGCATTATTTTTTTGTTAGCACAAATGTCCTTTGCAGTTGATTGGTTGGTTGATTAATTTTGTGGTTTTATGTATTTCTAATTTCTCGGAGTCCTTAAAGAGTTTTTGCTGCTAATGCTGGTTAGATGTTTCCCCTTGCTTTACTGATTAAAAAATGTTCTGTAGCTTTTTCTTCTTTGGACATTTTTTTAAATTCTTTTTTCATGATTTAGGTACACATGTCCTCTGTTCTTTATTCATTTAATTTTCTGAATAATTTTTACATTTTTGCCTTATAACAATTTGGTATTTGTTACATATTCAGCTTTACCAAACTTGCTTAAAAATTATTTCTTAAATGTCTACTTATATGTCTATCTTGTATCTTCATTTTGTCATTCTCTTCCACAAATAAATGTCCTAAGTTCTTTTCTCTTTCCTAGCTAGTTTTCTTAATCAAATGAGTGTCTGTCAACTAGATAAGTAATTGGCTCAGGGACATTTCCTAGGGGATTTTAGAGCCTCCTAGTTTCAATTTTTCACTTACTGTCCTATGGTGAACAGTGTTCTTGGAATTTTGAAACGTTCCCCATCATTTGGTGTTTCAGATATATAAATTGTGTTCCTATTGCTATAAGATTTCAAATCTTTGCATGGGTAATCCAAGAGAGCACCTGTGTTTTTTTGTATGAATTCTTTGTTTGACATCGCTTTTAGGTGTGGTATTATTTTTCTTTCTTCTTTATCCAGCTTATTGTATCCTATGCTCCCACTTGTCTGCATCTCACTTCTTATTGCTGCTTTTTCCACTTGTATATACTAGTATTTTAACACAGTCTACTCCAGGTTCAGTGTCAGCAGCTCTAAACTTTGATAGGAAGGAAAGATATGTAGTCTACTGCTTTTCCTTAAAACAGTAACTCCTAAAGTACAGTCTAAAGAGACCCCTCTCCTCCCCCAGTGGATCACTGAGACAAGTTTATGTGAAGTCAAAGCTAATTTTTATAATAACATTAAGAAGTTCTTTGTTCTGGGGCTGGAGAGATGTCTCAGCACCTACATGGTGACTAACAACCATCCATAACTCCAGTTCAGGAGATCTGATGCCCTCTTCTGGCCTGGATGGGCCTTGCATGACATGGATGCACTTTCATATATCTAGGCAATACACTTATACTCAAAAAATAAAAATAATAATTAAAATATTTTAAAATTATTTGTTCTTATTCACTCATGAGTATATATAGTAGAATTTTCCAGAAACAACCTGATGACTAATAAAATGTGTATCTAGATATTATTCTTAATATTTTCTGTTTTAAGTTCTAAAATGATAAATATTAATAGATACAATCTTTATAAATGAAAGGTGTTTGGTTTCCTCAAGAGTATATATAGGCCCTGGGAACAAAATGTTTGAGAACCATTGAAGACAAAGTTCAAGACCCCGAAGGTCTGTGTGGGATAGGTATGCTTAACCAAAAGACAGAGTTGTGGAAATATGATGAGCCATTTCCTCTTCCTTAGAACCCAAGATCCTGAGATCTTGGAGATAAAGGTGACTAGGATGGTGCTTGTCTGGGAAGTCCCTCTCAACTTGAAAGTACCTCAATACAGGTTCAAAGTACAAAATACAGTATTTAATGAACTGACTATATTTCTCAGATATAATAGAAGTATGAACATTCACAAAACAATTTTATTACTCTATAGCTAAGGGAATCTGAGTGGAACTTACTCCCAAATACTAATTTCTAACAAACCTTTCTACTTTAAACAGATTAGCAAACCTGAAAGTTAAGTAAATAGTGGTCTTGTTCAGCCACTGATTGCTATCTTTCAATTAAAGTCTACTAGATAGATTATGCAATTTTTGTTTCCCTTTTAGAGCTGACTCACAACTGATAAATATTATATTCTTTAAAACCAAAAAGTAAACTCAATTAAATAAGTGTCAGTTTCCTTGAAAAGGAAAATATATTGCAAAGGTAGTGTTTTGCGTACTTTAAAGCTGATTAAAATTGAGAGTATTCTTAATGCCTAAATGTTTGCTAAATAAGGTTTACTGTATTTTTTCTCTCTAGGGTATCCATGGACTCATTTAAGCATGGGGCCCTGCGAGAACAACTAGCCAACCTGGCCACAAGACAGAAGAGCCTTTTAGTTGTGGCAAAGAAACAGAAAAAAATAAGATCGAAAATTCAAAATTATAAGACTGCCACACCATTTTCTAGTCTTAGTTTAAGGAAATTGCCATGCAATTCAGACAACCGAAAGCTTACTAGTGTGGAAAATTCAGTGCATTCCCAGTCAGGCTCATGTTCTCTTATCAATGTTGCTGATAGAAGCATGCAAGAAGTACCATGGGATGACAGCCAAAATACTAACACTTGTCTAAATTCAGAGTCAGCCAGAAGAGAAGAATTCTCTAGAAATGAGGTGATTTCTAAACAAAATGTCCAGCATTGTACCTTGGGTGGGTTATTGAAATCCAGGCACTCAAATGGCCCTGAGAAGATGAAGTTATCATCCCAACCTGTTGCTTTTATTGATCAAGTAGAATATTCACAAGAAGAAAATGTTCTTACAGAAACTATGGCCAAAGGGCATGAATTTGATAGTTCTCCTGCAGTAACCAGCACAATTAATATTTCAGAAGACAAAAGTGTATTTTCCCAAAATGATACCTGTCCAGCAACTGTTACTTGGGATCAAGACCTCTCCCATTGTGATCCCAAAAGAAGAAACAAGAAAAGAGCTTCCCAGCAACCACCTGGAGGGTTATGTGAACCCCTGGCACAGCAAGGGATTACTGTCTTAGCCACTAATACTGCGCATCAGGCAAAGCCTTGTCTTAAAGAAACAGCTTCTTCTGTTTCCCATGCTGAGGGCATTCAGATCTCTTCTTCCTCTAGGTCCATCCATCAACATTCTATTAAAAAGCCTTTAAACCACAATACAGCTCCTAAAAAGAAAAGTGTGCAGTTGAAAGATTTGATATTGCTTGGAAGAATTAAGCCGGGAAATAACATTCTGGAATTCAAAACACAGGTATATAACTATTTTTTTTCTCCAAAATCTTACAAATTTTAGCTGATTACTGCTGGGTGATGGAGAGTTGATCTTCTTTAAGGGAGAGACTATAGATAGGCTGACTAGACCCCAGTAGATGAAGTCATACTGAGGGACATCTGGCTACACTAACTTGACTAGATAGGCCTTAACATATATGACAGAATGCATGAAATCCAGTGGAGGGTGCAGATGGGGGAGTAAATATAAAGATGATTAAGATGTTTTGTAGGAAATGCACAAAAATTCAATAAAAATATACACTAAAAATCATGCAAATTTTAGAATAAGTAAATGTTGGTATAGCATGATGTACAGGGAATGGGATTTGACTGAGCTTTCTAAATGAAAGGACACAACCATTCTATTCTTTTTTGGGATGTTTTGGGGGGGTTGGGTTGTTGTTTTTGAAACAGCATCTCAATATGTAGTTCTGACTGACCTGGAATTTTCTGTGTAGACCAGGCTAGCCTGGAACTCATAGAGATGCACTGCCAAATATATTATGCTCTTAGCAAAGATTTCAAAGCAGTGTAAAATAATAGTGGGTTATCTCCCTTAGCTACAGGTGGGCACTATAGTATTGCAGACCAAGATTTGAACTCTTAAATCTGAGCAGCACTTTGTAATTAGAAGAAAAATAATCAATGAGAAATAATTGTCTAAAAAACATTTTATATGGACTTAAGTCTAATGTCTGGGAAGTGTAATCCCTTGAACTCTTAAAGAAATATACTAATGACTTTAATCTTTGGTTATACTTTCCTTTTGGGTGTTTAAGGCAGTACAGTTCGTCCAAATAAACCAATTTATTTTTATTCTTAAAGTTGTTTGAGGATCTGTTCATCAGGGGTCATATGGGCTTGAGAGGAGCCCCTGGCTCCTTTCTTTTGCCAGTTCCATCTATGTGAAGATAAAACATGACCATGGCTGGCTTCACTAGGAAGCATGGAGGAAACATATCCTCTGAGTTGATCCTCCTCTTTGTTGACGGGGCACTGGTTCAAGTCTGTCTGGTGGGGTCTCTGTGGCCTCCCTGAATAAGAGGACAGGTGACTCACCACAGTTACAGAACATTTTAAGAGATGTTCCATAGTCCCCTGGAACCTAGTTGACCTTGGAGGGCAAGGAGCAAAAACTGTACTTTAAGTCCCTCTGACCAGATTAGTATAGGCCTCAAAGTATGACTGTTAAACATCCAAAAAGGTTAGTTCCTGGAGATTTAGCTCGGTGGTAGAGTGCTTGCCTAGGGAAGTGCAAGGCCCTGGGTTCAGCCCTCAGCTCCAAAAAAAAAAAAGAGAGAGAGAGAAGAAGGTTAGTTCCACCAGTTTGGTATTTTTAATTACCATGTGCTATGTAGATAAAGCTTGGGCAAAAACCAAACATTCTCAGCTAAACCTTGAAAGTGCCTGAAAACAAATCCTGAGGAGGCACCCAATAGAGAGATGCTTTTGGAAGCTCTTGTCAAGAAATTCCAATGAACTCTGATATGAACATTTGAATTTTACCGTTTTGACTTTTTTCTGGTTCCCTGTCTAGAACTTGTAATGTTAAGTACTCTTGCCTTTACTTCTCCTTCACATCTCCTAGGCACCAGTCAAGGACTTTCTTTTCTCCCTACAGTTAAGAGTTATGCAATTTGGGAATCTTTTAGATAGACCCACTTAAGACCCAGTTGCCTCACCCTTCGTCCCTGTTCAACATGGAAGAGGCCAGAGCAGCCTGTGTCCTAATTCCCTATTGGCTATTTGGGTAACCTCTTCAGAGGATGGCATGATAAGAATAGGAAGTAGGAATTGGCTAGGCAGTTAGGGTAAAAAGACCTCAAAGAAAAGTAGCCAGTTTCTTGGCTAAAAATCAAAATGTCCTTGGGCCTCTTAGCAGTAAACTCTGTTCCAAAGGCCAAAACTATTGAAAGTATTTAGGAGCTCTTATCTAATCCCTCAGACTTTAGAGTTACCTCTTCAGAGGGGGGGGGCATGTTAGAGTAGCAAAAAGCCCCATTTAAAAAAAAAAGAAAGAGT